AAGCTGTGGATGTGATACTGAAGCTGTGGGTGTGATAGTGGAGCTGTAGGTTTGATAGTGGAGCTGCAGGTGTGATAGTGAAGCTGCGGGTGTGATAGTGGAGCTGCGGGTGTGATAGTGGAGCTGCGGGTGTGATAGTGGAGCTGCGGGTGTGGTAGTGAAACTGTGGGTGTGATAGTAGAGCTGTTCTGTATGGGACGATATTTATGACTGACAATGCTAGCGAAGCTGGTTTTCTTATAGATCAACTCCATCTTGATTTGTGTTCTGCCGATGTCAGGTTGTTAATCAGGCTGGGTGTTTGGAACTCCCACATCCTGAACTGTGCTCAGATTGGCAATGGTTGAAGATAACCCATTAACTGGAAGGTCACCTCAGCCACCCCATCACTTAATTGTGATCAGTGAAAAATGACACAGTGTCATGTTGAAGGGCAGCGAGTCACCAAGGGAATCGCAGCACCAAGTTTCACATTGGCCTGGGTGACAGGATAGGAAGGCTAAGTGCTCCTCCCTTGCTAGGGATTCGTTGTTGAGTGAATTGTTATTAGAAAACTGGCTGACCTTAATGCAAATCGACTCAGCTGGAAAAGAGGAATTCCATCAGTTGTGCATGGACTGAAGGTTATAAAGCATTAAGCCTTGCCTGTAAATTTCTGGGCAAGCAAACCAGGTCATATCTTTAAAATGAACACAATACAATTTTCAGAGCTTTACTTAAATGGAAGTGTTTTGGACCTTTGCTTTGTTGTTAGAATAGTCTTTCTGGTCTTGTTTACAGGAAGGTACTTGAGCTGAAGTGCCTGGTAAACACAGCCCCGTGCCCTGGTTAACACAGCCCCGTGTCCTGGTAAACAGAGCCCGGTGCCCTGGAAAACACAGCCCCGTGCCCTGGAAAACACAGCCCCGTGCCCTGGAAAACACAGCCCGGTGCCCTGTTAAACACAGCCCAGTGCCTGTTAAACACAGCCCCGTGCCTGGTAAACACAGCCTGGTGTCTGGTAAACACAGCCCCGTGCCCTGGAAAACACAGCCCCGTGCCCTGGAAAACACAGCCCGGTGCCCTGTTAAACACAGCCCAGTGCCTGTTAAACACAGCCCCGTGCCTGGTAAACACAGCCTGGTGTCTGGTAAACACAGCCCGTGCCCTGGTAAACACAGCCCGGTGCCCTGGTAAACACAGCCCAGTGCCTGTTAAACACAGCCCCGTGCCTGGTAAACACAGCCCGGTGCCCTGGAAAACACAGCCCCGTGCCCTGGAAAACACAGCCCCGTGCCCTGGAAAACACAGCCCG